AAAAAAAAAAGGAAAAAAAAAAAAAAAAAAGATATAACAAACAGATGATTTGCAAATGGACTGTTTCATAACAAACACAATGACATGTGAAGGAATGCATTAGAAGAAGAGGATGTTACAAAATAAAGCTTTTAAATCATAAGGTTATAAGCAATAAATATGGGGTCTTTACCAAGTGAGTCTAGAAAAACTAGAAAAGGAACTCTGAATGGCAAATGATCAACACAGCAAATACACGGCTGGTAAAGCACAATTTAGAAGGAAATTAGAAGATAAAAGCTTATATCTGATGTATTTCGTGTCAGTGCCTCATTATTTACTTACTGACTGAAGTACGACGAAATTTATGAATATAACCACAGTAATATTCACGGAGATCTTGCATGTAATTTCTCTCTCTATCTTTCTTCTCTCCATTTAGTCTTTCAAGAACCAAAAACACCAAATCATTTTCCTTTGGATGAAGCTGTTTAGCCAGTTCGCATTCCTCCAGATAAACTATGCAACAACAAGAAGTCATTATGTATATAACTCTAACAAAATTATTTTCAATAAGATAAACTTCAAAAAAATTAAATCACTGTACTAAGTTCAAAAGTATACAGAACTAGCAGACTGTGCATATACTTCAAAATGGTAATATAATCCAATCAATTTAAAATATCAATTATAGACTACTAAAAAAATTTTTAATAAATACTGCTACAAAGACAAAACAGATAAAATCATAATATTGAAAAGTAGCTAATACATGTTCTTTCCTTGAATGTTATTCTGGTTTTTAATCAAGAGGTTCTCTCATTTGTTCCACACTTTCAAAATCCCAGGAGGAAATTCAGAAACAGATCAAAGTACATATAAGACTTTTGAACCTACTGATAGCATTTCAAGTAGGGGGAAAGGATAGTTGCAAACTAAATGAGACTGGGAAAACAACATACACTGGAATAGAAAAGCTTGGTATCAGTTGCTGAATCTAGCAATAACATACTGAATTGAAGCACTAAGTACTGGCATTAAAGAGAATCAACTACTGAATCAGAAAATTGGGATAATTTAAATAAAATACTCATATGTGAAAGAATTACAGCCTGAAAGACACAAAACACTGCTGAGAGAAACTAAAGATGGCCTAAATAAATGGAGAAATATACTAAGTTCAAGAACTACGACTCAATACTGTTAAAATATCAGTTCTCCCCAAATTAATCTTTAAATCTAAAACAATCCCAGTCCAAATACCAGCGGGCATTTTTACAAAAATTGACAAGTTGATTCTAAACTTCATATAACAATGCTAAGAAACTTCTTTTTAAAAAGAACAAAACTGGAATTATTAAACTATCATATTTCAATATTTTTTATAAAGTTACAATAAGCGAGAGAGTATGATATTGGTGTAAGGTAGATATACAGATGAAGAGAACAGAACAAAATGTCCAAAGATACACCCGCAGTTAAGGTCAACTGATATTCTGACAAAGGTGCCAAGGTTTTTCAATGGGGAAAGGACAGTCTTTTTCAACAGGTATTACTAAAACTAGATATTAATTTTTAAAAAGACAAAAAAACCCTCAACCTTTACATTATATTATATGCCAAAATAAACTAAAAAATGGTCATCAATGTAAACATGAAAATAAAACTATAAAACTTAGAAGAAAACATAAGGAAAAATTGTGACCTCTGATTAGGCAAACATTTCTCAGGACACAAAAAGCATGAACCATAAAAGAAAAAAATATCATCAACTAGATGTCATCAGAATCAAAACTTCTGCACTTTGGGGGCCGGCCCGGTGGTGCACTGGATAGTGCGCCGCTTGGGAAGCGCGGCGGCGCTCCCGCCAAAACTTCTGCACTTTGAAAGACACTGTTAGGAGAATTAAAAGGCAATGCATAGGGGCCGGCCCGGTGGCGCACTAGATGGTGTGTCGCTTGGGAAGCGCGGCGGCGCTCCCGCCCGAGGGTTCGGATCCCACATA